TACGGTCCCGCTCGGCCCGTTGTTGCCCGTGACACGCCTTACTCGGCGGACCCGCCCTCGTCTTCGGAAGCAGCCTTTTCTTGTGACGTGCTTCCCGAGTCGGGTGTTCGCCTTCCTTGCGGCTGGACTTATGCTGCTGATGGCTCGCTTTCTCTCGGTGCTATCGCTGATCAGTGGGAGCTGTCTGGCCGGCATCTGGTGCGGCGGCACTTCGTGGCCCGTTCTGCCTTGTTTTCTCCTTCCTCCCCCGGTGATTGCCCGGTCCCCGTGCACATGCTTGGCAAGGGTCGTACCACTTTTCGAGGCAACCATCGGCATGATGATCGATGGCGTGGTCGTTCTGACACCGAGAGTGGTGAGGAGGACCGTGCTCTGTGGACCGGCCGCACGGTTTTCAAAATACAGCCCCGCTTTGTTGAAGAGGCCCGCGCTGCTTTCGCTGCAGCATCTGGCGGCCACTCTACGCATGCGGCGCCAGTGCGCAAAGACAGTTTGAGTGAAAGCACCATGGGTTTGAGCGACCTCTTGGCCTTTCAGGAAGCTAAGCGTAAGGAGCTTTCCAGCTTCTTTCAGAACTCTGTGTGGGAGTTTGACACGGAGTCCAGTGCCCCAGCTGGTCGTATCCTCAAGGCCCATTTCATCCTGAAGTGGGGCAAGCATCCAGATGGTTCGCCACGAGCCAAGGCGCGCCTCATCACGCAAGGTTTCAAAGACCCTGATGCCTTGAATGGCCTGGTCGACCGCACGTCCCCCACCTTGACTCGCCTTGCTCGTCACTGCATGCTATCCTTAGCTGCTACCTTGGGGTGGGATGTCTCCACCGGTGATATCACCACAGCCTTCTTGCAAGGCAAGGCCTACGATGGCCAGCGCACGTTGTGGATCCGGCTACCGGCCGATGCTCGTAAAATGCTCGGGTTGAGCGACACCAAGGTTGTCATGCGCCTGCTCAAGCCTATTTACGGGTTAGTGGATGCCCCAAGAGCGTGGTATCGCGAAGCTTGCAGTCGCCTTGAAGCTCTAGGGTTCAAGCGCCACCCTCTGGACCAGTGCGTTTTTCTCTACTACGACGATTCAGATCGTCTAGTTTTGGCCGTAGGTCTTTACGTTGATGACCTGCTGTGCATAGGCGATGGCTCTAGTAAGGCATGTTGTGATGCCAAGGCTCGCCTCAAAGATGCATTTGCCTTCCGGGAATGGCATGAGGGCGAGCGTTCAGTAGAATACTTGGGCTCGCAAATTGAGTGTTTGCCCGATGGCAGCACCAAGTACCACCAGGCCAAGTATCTCGCCAAGCTTCATCCGATCACTGTTGACAAAGTCAGGGCTGCCTCTCCTGAGGACCCCGTCACTGAAAAGGAGCGCACCAAGCTCCGTGCCCTCCTTGGTGGACTTCAGTGGGCTGCCACACAGTCGGCTCCTCACGTGCAGCCTCACACCTCCATGTTGGCTGGTCAGACTTCCAAAGCAACGGTAGCCACTCTTCTAGCTACCAACAAAGCTCTTCGTTTTGCTAAAGCCAATTCTGATGTTGGCTTGTGCTATCAATACTTGGGCCCCTTCTCTGACCTTGTGCTGGTGGCGTACAGTGACGCTTCCTTCGCGTGCCGGCCCGACCTGGCAAGCCAAGGAGGGTATCTGGTGACCTTGTGTCATAAGGATGCCCTGCAGAAAGGCGCAGCTTGTGCCTATCATGTGTTGGATTGGCGTTCTTTTCGCTTGCCCCGGGTGGCTCGCTCCACCTTGTCAGCTGAGGGCCAAGCAGCCGCTGAGGCAGCAGATGCCTTGTACTTCACCTCCCTGTTTCTGAAGGCGTTCTTTGAGCCTGGCTTGGACTTGGCCTCACCTACTGCGGCCCAGTTGGAGCACCAGTCGGCACTGGTTGTTGATGCCAAAGCCCTCTACGACCTGTTGGTCAAGGATGAGCTGCAAACCGCCCTTGGCGCTGAGAAGCGTACGGCCGTCGAGGTGCTGGTGACCAAGCAAAAGCTTCGAGAAGCTGGGGCGATTCCTCGCTGGGTGAGTTCTGAGCGTCAACTCGCCGATGGGCTCACTAAAGAAAGCGCCACCCAGCTGCTTGCTGACCGACTGCGCACTCACAAGAACCGTCTGACGGATGACCTCAGTTACGAAGCTGCCCGAAAGAAGGACCCCGAGCGTCGACAAGCGTCAGCTCAGGAGTTTGCGCTCAGCAGGCCACAGGCTTCTGCTTCTGTGCCTGCGGCTGTGTACCTTGCCGTCGCTGCCGCAGCCTTTGTGACCCCGGCAGCTGCCGCGGAGTCTCTCAACGAATCAGCAAACTTGGTGACTGCGCCAGCCTTCCCTGACTGGTTGGACTTCGCGTTGGTTTACTTTACTGTAATAGTTGGGTTAGTGGTTCTCAGGTGCCTTTGGTTTCCGTGCTTGGTTCCCCGTGCCTCTCCGCGCATTGCATTGCGCGACCAGGCTGTGCAAACCTCCACCGGGCACTCCGACGACAGCACCCAAACCTGGACCGACAGTGAACACCGCAGTGTACAGACCGAAGCCGACGCTGCGAGCCGCAGCGCCCAGACCGAAGCAGTTAACACTGAACACCGTGGCACACAGACTGAAGCTGCTGAAGGCCGCTGCCTCTTGTGTGGCGCGACCATGCCTTTGGCACCCAGGTCGTCGAGTGCTGCCTCACACCTGCAGGTTGCAGATCGCCGGGGCTCACTGCTAAGCAATTCCCCCCAGGTGTCGGTTGTAGGTAGTGAGGTTCTAGGTAGGTCCCGGTACCCTAAGTCCCAAGCGTCCCAAGCATCTGTGCAGACTGTCCAGAGCGCCGCCCAGACAGACGTTTCCTTAACGCCCCGTCAAGCCACTCCTCCGGTTGTGCCTCCTGTGGCTCCCCCGCAGGATCCGGCCAGCGATCGCAATGTGCCCATGCCGCACCGGGTCGATCCAAACGACCGCGCGTACTTCACTCCCTCTGGTGAGGTGTGGCACTTCATGTCAGGATGCGCTCGACAGCGCACGACCTCTCGCATTTCCTCACTGCGGCCATGCCAGTTTTGCACCACAGGCTACTCGTTGCCAAGGTTGAGGCACATGCGTGATCGCCAGGGGGGTCGCTGAAACGGCTGCCGCTGATGCATGATTTTCCATTTCGTTGTGGGATGTCCGCTTTTATAGCGCAGGTGGCAGCGATCAATTCTTTGAACCTCCACCGGTGTGGATTTTCGTCCCGAAAACCTTTAAGCAGACCATTTGTGCCCAGGTGACCGCGCCCTTGGCCACTGGCTCAAGGGAGCACTTGTGTGCTTAGGGTCTGCCGGCTTAGATCCTCGTGAGCTACGGTGTGCGTGGAAGAAACAATCCGCGTCTTGCATTTACTGTGATCGGACTTCGTGCGCCGCTTATCTGCCTATCGGTTGCAACCAGATTCTTCAGGCTCATTGTCTCGGAAAGACGGATATCAGGGTCCAGCTCTCGCAAGGTCGACCACCACCTCTTTCGGCGGGCTATGTAAGACAACATAGGCTCGCCGGGCTGCTTTGCAAGTGGGCCCGTCAGGAGCTGTCCCTGACGGAAAAGTTCGGACGCCTCTTCGGATTGAAGAGGGAAGGCTTGCCTCCTGATTTCCTCTATCAGGTAGTCAATGCCGTCATGCCGGAGTAAACGTTCCAAACCGACGTCGCGTGCAATGCAGAAGGCATCCCCTCGGAGACCTTCCAAAATCTTGCTGACGCACTCGCTCATGTCGAGTGATTCGTCTTTGACGTCTTGCAACGTATACACCGCCGGATCTGTGTCCGGCTCTTGCTCATCGTCGCCCGTCACCTGACTGGGGTGCGACGGTGTCGACTCCGCATCCTCATCTTCTGCCTCGGACACGGGCTTAGTCCGCCTTGCGCTGGACGGACTAGCGGGTATACCGCTGCTCGCATCACCCTCGGTGGGGTGTGCACTGGTCGCCTGACTGGCTCTGCCGCGCCACTTCCTTGGTGATTCGCTTCTGGACTTTGCCGATTCTGCAAAGCGCAAGTCCTTCAAAGCTTCACGCCGCTGCTTTTCCTTATGCTGCAGCACGCGGATCTGTGTCCGGAAGCACCAATCGTGGAACCCAGCAGCTGACCCGTCGTATATGTACGAGCCGCTTTTGGTCTCGGCAGGGCTCAGGTTCTGTGACCAGAGATTGGGCTGGTAGCGCAATCCTGCCACGCTCATGGCTTCGAGGATAGAAGGGGCCTTTGCTCCACGACTATCACTACTCTACCCAACGGACCCCGGACCTCAGGCTCAACGGGGGTGAAACACTAGTGGTTGTCCTCACAGCTCCGCTACCAGTTTGAAGCAGGAACTGGGTTAGTGAGTGTCCAACCACACAACGAGCACACTTTTTGATCTGAGCCCAAGACGTCTGTCATACAGGGTGCATTCAGAACTGAACATGAAAAACTACGCTCGCATGAGGACAAGTCAACACGGCCCTTCAAGACAGGGAAATTTCACAAGGGGTTTAGGGCTTTAGGGCTTTAGGGGTTTAGGATTTAGGGTATTTAGGGTATAAACGCATCAACTCTCGAGGTAGGATCAAGGCTTCGGGCTTCAGGTCCCTCTGCGGGTCCCGCAAGTTTCGACTCTTAGAAACCCTGATTCGAAGCACCGCCCAGAGAGGATTTTCAGCTGTCTCCTAGAAGAGCTTGCCTTTGCCAAAATTCGGTATTGCGGCTCTTCCTTCGTTAGAGCTTCGAGCCGAGAAGAAAGGACACACTTGCACATGCCGAATCCCGGAATATGTTGGATGATGAATTGGCGCATGCAGGGTTTCGTGTGGCGGACTTCGATTGAGAGGGCTGCGGGTTTGAGGATTGATTCCGTAATGAAACGGGGCTTATGCTGTGTTTTCGCTTGCCTTCTGCAGGCCGCCCGGCTCTCTGCAACGCCCAAAAGCCCACAGATCCTGAGGCCCTGAACCCTAAGCCCGGGGAAGGTAGGAGGGACACGAGCAGCCCAAAGATGCCCAGAGCCCCGTCCTTCCATAGCTCCTTGTTGTCCACGTCCTTTGTCGCAGAGTTGAAGATTTCAGCTTTGGGTCTCGGCTTATTTGACGGCTTACTGAGAAGTCCAGTGCGGGCCTGGGTCGCAGTTGTCTTAGGGTGTGAGGCTTGAAACCTTGCAGGGTGTCGCATTCACCTTAAGCTTGCCGGAACTCGAAAGCGTAAACTCGACCCTGAGCCCTGAATCGTGAAGTAAACACCCCGCCCACCTTGAGATAGAACAACCTCCACGTTCCTGCCCGCTCTCCCTGCGCCCCAAGACCGCAACACCACCCTGCCCGTCCTTCCGCCACGTCTCCTGGCCTTTGGGCTCGTTGGCGGGGCGCTTGATGATGGACAGGATGCGCTTCTGGCTGATCTGTCGGAGGTTCTCCTGCGGCTGAGGTCTTAAGTGCTTAGGGGGCAGGGTTTGGAGCGTTTAGGCCCAGGGTTTCGCTATTTACACGATGCTGCTTGTTGCAATGTCAATAAGAAGCTGTAGGGAATCCACAGGTTCGAGATGAGCTTCCGAACTTCACATCGGGTCAAGGTAACTCTGAGGGGTTGCCATGGCACTCCGCGACAGAAGACACGCGTCTTCCGCCTTCGACATTCTGGAGATCCTGGTTTTAGAGCCTTTCAGCTCCGAGCTTTAATGTTTTAGGATTTCGGGCGTCCATGGCCTTCCAAACTGGCGCAGTGCCACAAAGGGCCCAGGAGTTGCTCGGAACCTGGGGGATTGCTCTGGAGCCATAGAAACGCAAGGCATCCCCTTGCGTCACACAAGCTCCTAATACGTCCGACCTGAATTTAAAACGAACTTACAGCTTTAGGTCACAAGACACTGCAACAATATGAGGAATCTGAGGGGATAACATTTTTGCACACCTCCAGGCCCCGGACCTTGCTCAGATCCTAACCGCACGAAGCCGCCTCAAGACCACGAAGACCAAATCCAACAGAGCTGCAAAGACCGTCGCCAAACTTTTTTGGTAAATATACAACCCTTCCAGAAAAAAATATCAATCTGAACACTGAACCCTGAACTTCAAGCTTGCATGGCTCCTTGGGCTTCCGGTTCGCGGGGATGACGGGCACCGAGGTGCTCTTCGCAACCTTTGGCCCCCCCTGAAGGACCATGTCCTGTCAGGGCCATTCCGCTTGAGCGTAGGCTGCTGCAGGCTTCGTTGGGGCGGAGTGGCTCGAAAATCGACCGATGGTATCTCGCCGCCTCTTGTAGCAGCTGTCTGCAGCCTAAAGCTACCCGAAAACCTTAAACCTCAACCGAAGGTGCACGCAACCCTAAACGCCCAAACCTTAAACCACGAGCCACAAAAGCAAGGTCGAGATTGGCTCTTCGCTGTGCAGGCACAGCCACAGCTAGGTTTGCTTTGCCACTGCGGTTTCTAGCATATGCGCAATGACGATGGGCCGTCACTTCAATCAAGCTTCCCCTCAATTAGCTGTACTGAACTCCTGCCATGCCAAAATGTCGAAAGGATACGTCTGCGTCTACGTTTACACTAGGTCCGGACAGTGCCATGAGTCAGGGAAAGGTGTCTGTTAGGCGGGCTGGTAAATTCACGATTTGGGGGAGTCGTCCTGCGGCGAATTCCCTGATTTGCCGGTGTCCCAGTGCCTAAGGGGTAATGCCTCAGTGGCTGAAGGAGAGTTCGCCGGGGACGGGGCTAGAATGAGTTGAAACTCACGACTTCCAAGTCCGGTCCTTCCGGATCTCCGCTTTCGCCACCCCCTTCCTCGGATTTTGGACTCAGGGTTCGGGAGGTGATAGCCAAGAGAAGAAAACAACCCCTCACCGTGAAGCTTGCAGACAGTGGCCTAGATAAGCAAACCCGGTGCCTGAAGACCTGAAAGAATCCTTGGTCATTCTGCTCTAAACAGCAGAAGTCAAGCCCAAAAATCCCAAAATCCGAAGCTCAACGATGAGGCCCGCATCCTAATCCGAAGAGCTCGCGAACCCTGAAAGGGTTGGTTGTCCCAGATCCCCAAATTCGGCTCCAAGACCCGGCATTTTCCATCCCCCACCCCTCAAGCCTCAAAACCGAAGGTGGTAGTAGTAGGGGGTTTAGGGGCTTTAAGGGGTTTAGGGGTAGGATCCTAAAAGGGAACCCCAAAACCGAGGGTAGAGCACAGCAAGGCGCTTCTCCGCGAGCAGCTCCAAGGCAGACTCGAACTGCAGGAAGTCGATGCGATTCTGCCCCCGGGGCTTCACCTTCTTTCCAGGGTTTTTTTTCAACCGAGACGAAACACCCTTTGGGTCCCTCCTACTACTGCTGCTACTACTACTACTACTACTACTACTACTACTACTACTACTACTACTACTACTACTACTACTACTACTACTACTACTACCTACTACTACTACTACCACCACTACTGCTCAAAGGCTGGTGACTTTCAGCCAGGAGACGCGATTGTCAGCGAAGATCAAGTCGACGCCCGTCAAGTCCAATCGCTTGTCCATCAGCTCGCAATCCTGCTTGGGCTTGGAGCTAGGGTGGGAGAATGCACGAATCGTGGGAGGTTCACACCTGGGTGGACTGGTGCTTTGTTGGCTCAAGCATCGTTTGGGACTTAGGCCGCGCTCTTCCTGACCCATATTTCTGAAACCCAAACCTTCTGCCCGATGCTCGACAGACAGAGGCCGGCCTTTTGACTGCAAGTGTGAAGAATCCCCGGAACACACGGCAAACCCTGCACTTTAATACGCCTAGAGTGGACTAGACCAGCCTAGAACAAAAAAAGAGGCCGCTCCTGGCAGAGCTTCTTGAAGCTCTTCCTTAGTCTAAGATTCAGCCAAAAGCATGTCCGTTCCCCAACGGCTTCTCAGGTTTAGTCTTCTTGGGTCTTCGGTGCCCCGGAAAATCCTGACAAGGCCCTGCTCCAGGGTGTAATCCGAGACCCGTACCCGGAAATATCGAACAACTTCCGAAACCTTGCCTGCCAACGGGGTCATCATCGCAGTTTAAGTGCAGTAGAGTGGTGGATCTGCGATTCAAACTCGTTTATGGCAGGTACATAACTATTTAAATTCAACAAATGCTGACATGAAAACGTTGCAACTTGAGCCCAAGGCTCCCGTCCATGTCAGAATGACCCGCCCCGCAGAAGTTGTAGTAGACGGCCTGGAATGACATGGACAGTACAGGGGTTTAGGGGGGTTTACAGGCTTGTTGGGCCAAGGTGACTTTGACGGTCACCCACGTTCAAACCCGAAAGACAATCCTTTTTTTGTCCGTCTCGAGCATTAAACCTTGAGCAACCGCAAAAGCCAGGCCCCAAACAAACCAAAACCTCAACCCCTGGTCCCTGGACCCGAGTCCAAGAAATCCCAATGCTTGAAAGCGAAAGCAATAGTAACAACTACAGCAGTAATCATAACCATATAGTGGCAATGATCAGATGATCACGTTGTTAATGACTCATGCCTTTTCACACTGCAATTACTAGAACCGACTCTACTTACAACAAGAGCTTAGCAGCAGCTGCTATGAAAGCGAAAGCCGTCGAGATAATGATGATGTTGTTGTTCTGGAACCCAACATTACCGGGAAACTACGGCAAACCCTACTTGCAACCCTAAGGCCCTGAGCCTGAGGGATCTCTCACAATGCAAATGAAGGGATCCGTAAAGGAACCCATACTGGCGCCTCCAGACCGTCGGAGTCACTTGGAGCCAGGATGGCCTTTGCAAAGAGCCCCCGAAGGGCTTCAAGGCGTCTCTACAAGCCTTACTGCTTCGGCAGAGGGTCTCCACAAGGGTTCTGAGGTCATGCTGCTGTTTCGTTGTTTGGCATGGGTTAGGTTTAGGGTTTCGGGTTTTGTGCTCCTGGTTCAGGGCTCATGGCTTCAAAACGGACTCCCACACAACAGTCCCCTCTGACTCCAGAACCCTTGTCGGGGGCGCAGGTACCGGAGATGTGGCCTTGGCCTTCATGGCTGCCGGCGGGCCAGTGCCGGATTTGATCCTCGGTCCCAGCAAAAATTCACCGAATAGGGTACTCCTAACAAACCCGAAACCCCTAAACTCTGACTTTAAACCCTAAAGAATCCTGACCTCCTAAACCCTAAAAACCTGGAAGTAGGCACTCTTCGCTCACCAAGCTTTGAAAACTTTCCCTATACCGGCGACATCAAAAACGCAAGCAAGACTAAGAGGCTTGGAGATTAGGGCTCAGGGCACGGGGCTGACGGTTGTGGGAAGCCTCACAGTTCTCGGATTGGTGGTTAGGGTTTAGGGTTTAGGGTTTAGGGTTTAGGGTTTAAGAACATCAGATTCTGAGCCCAGGTAAGAGATCCTCCGCGGGGGTCTGGGAACTCGTGAAATCCCGAACCTGGAACCCAGTACCGCAAACCACAGCATCACACTCTGCAGTACCAACCCCAACCCCCAACCCCACAGACCGTCACGCCCTCAAATCTTTGCGTCAGACTCCTTGAAGACTGTACCATACCATACAAAGTCAACCAGCATCCTACAAAGCCCTGGGTTCTCCCGACGCCCCCGCCCCCCCCCCATGACTGAGAGGTCGAAGTGCCAGGAGGTGAACTCATGGAAGTCCACCTCACCATCCTGGCGCCCAGGTTTTAGGGCTTCGTGCTTTAGGCTTTTGGGGCTTGCAGTGTGCGGTTTGGGGCTTCTGGGGTTTCAGGTTTCAGGATTCAGATATCAGGGGCTTAGAGAGAGGATTTCGTACGGCCTCTACAAGGGCGCTATGGCTATGAATCATCCTTTAAGGTCGCACAGAGCTTGCCCACAGTGAGCTTGAGGACTTTTGATTCAGGGTGAGGGTTCTGGTTTGGTGAGGGTGGAGGCCCAGGCTTCTTTGGGGTTTAAAGGGAGGTGGCAGTTGGGGGGGGACTGTTACGGTTGTTCTGACCTAAGGCTCTTGGATTTGCCGTCGATGCCTTTGGGGGTTTGGAGCTTTTGGATTATCTCTATCGGGTTTTAACGGGTTTCGGTTTGAAGGTATTGCGACTGGCAGGGTTTGTGCTTTCCCGGTCTAGGGTCTAGGATTTGAGGCTGTACAGGTTTAGGCTTAGGGTTTCCAGCGTGTGGCATCAAAACTTTCGTATTTAGGTATTGAAGCACTAAGTGCTGTTTTGGGGCTTGGAGTGAGTGCATGGCGAAACTTGCAACACCTGGCTCCCACTCCGCGGGGAAGGGCTGAGGGTTCGGGGTGTCGCGTGACAAGATGTTGGGGTCTTAAGGGTTTAGGGTCAGAAGGACCGAACCTAAGGGCTGCACCAGATCAAGAAGCCCTACAGATATAATGTACTGGAGCCATGGCTTAAGGCTTCATGCATGTTTCTGGTACGAGTAAACAGGCGCTGAAGCTCCATGCCGCAGACCCTAAGACTGCAAAGAGAATCCTTGAACAGTCCTCGGCTTTCTGATTTCTACGCTATGAAGCTTTACAATCTTCCTCAGCTCTAATTTTCGAGTGTGCAAACCCCAAACCCGCGATCAAAAAACAGGACACGCGAATGCTGCCGCGAACTTGAAACCACAATCCTCAACCCCAAGCCCGATGCCCCAAACCCGACGAAGCCCTCGACCGAAAACCTGAACCGATGAAGCCAACTCATTAAAATCTGCAAATATCCTGAGATCCCTAAACCCTACACCCTAAACCCCTAAACCCCTAATCCCTCAACCCTAAACCTCAACGCCCAACCAGTCGAAAGACAGACTGCATTCCAACGCTCGATCCCAAACCTCCCGGCTGCTGCCGCCTTACTCTTGTCCAAGTCTGCGCACACCTTGCGCACCTCGTCCTCCGAGAAGCTTCCGAGTACCTGCGGGACCGTGGGATGGGGAGAGAGGCTCTTGTTCAGGGTTTAGGGTTTAGGGTCCCAAAAAATTGAAGACACTGGGACTCAAGACACAGAGCCATGAAAGCAAGGAGAAATCGTAGAGCTTCAGGACTTGGGCTAGAGTCGCTGTCTGCCTTGAGCGTCTGCCGCAGCTCTTCAATGTTCAAGGAGCCGTCACCCGTGGCATCGTAGGCCTGAAATGCCTGACAATTTACAGGCTGTGGATTTTCGGATGCTGTGTGGTTACCAATCAAGGTAAGGCCAGAGATGCGTAGGCGTGTGCCCGTACTGACTTGAAAACAGGATATACGACATTTATCTGTAACCGCAATCGTGACAACAAACCATTCGGAGAAATTGGAAAGGTTGGGAAACCGGAGGCCTTCCAAGAGTAGATCCTCAGAAAAAGCTTCAAGCCTGCTAGGACTGGGATAAGATGGCAGCTAACCAATCAAGTCCGTAAAAGAAAGCCTAAAGCCGAGTTCCGAACTTGATGATGTGAGTTGAGAAGTTCTTTGGGTTGCACAAGGACATTTCCATGCGTTTCTGGTGCATCCGAGCTTCGGGGCTCAACGAAGTCCGAAAAGCCCAAAAAGCCCTAAACCCTGAACCTTAAAGCCTCAAGGTTGAGGTTGGGGGACTCAGGGTCTAAAGTTGGGTACCTGAATGTAAGCCGCAAGTTCCTAGCCTCACCCCGAAAGATCCTAAAGACTTAACCCTAAACCCCTACACTGCGGCCCGCACGGATCACATAGAAGAAACTCCGTCCGGAAAGCTTCTCGGAGCGAGGCTACTGATAATTGCCCACATGGATGGGCCCTAAACCCCCTGCTAGTAACTGGCAACCCGAAATCCAACCTTCTTCATGCCCTTTGCACCCCCCTTGCGCGAAACCCTTCCTAAACCCCCATTAACCCCCTCAACCTTCAGGCCCCTTCGGCCCCTAAACCCCCAACCCGGCCTTCTTGATGCGCTCCTCCCGGGCTTCGCCAGTTTCCCTGTCGTCAATCACGAAGCTTGCGAGTGGCTGGAGGTGGTTTGTACAAGGTACGGGGACCGTGATAGTTGGATAGTTGTCAAAATTAGGGTCCATTTCTGGGCACCTGAAATAATAGGTGCCGTATTATACTAGGGACCCAGAAAGGGACCCTAATATTGACAATCGCCCAGTTAAACAGCCAGCACCGCTTCAGCGTCTAAAGTGGGAGTGAAACCCGCATGTTCTGATTGGAGGCATCACACCGATGCATTAAAATTCTGTTCCTTTCAGGCTTCCCGCCTTCATGCCGTAGCCCTAGTGCTCAAACCCCTCACGCTTTGAAAGTCGAACATTGCTTTGTTGTGCACCCTTGTTTACACGGACTTTGATTACCCATTTGTGTGTACATGTTAAATCGCGTTTCGCTCGGAAGACGTCTGAAATCATTGCAAACCGGCAACTTAAGCGACAATCCACAAAACATCGCAAAAATCTTGTGCATCGAAAAACAGTTCCTTTCTGTTCAGTAAACCCGAGGGGAACTAAACCCCAACACCTAAAGGGGAAGCATGAAGAAAAGATCACGGCAAGAAAGGTCAGCGGCATGCGGACCTGGTGCCTCATGTCAAGGCGAACGAACATAAATCGTTCTACAGGTGCTACGAATATTCGTACGCAGAAGACCTTCACCGCAGCAGTTGTGGAGCTCTTTGTTTGTGACGTGTGTGTCTGTCACGGGCTTTGCAAACGGTAATGCCAAGCCTACAAGCAACAATTTGCTCCTTGATTCGCCTTGGACGCGTGTGAGCTGCAGAAGTCGTAATCAGGATGTTTCTGAGGGTTGTGTTGTTAAAGCCACTGCTCAGGGTCTGTTAGGGCCCTTTGTTGCTGGGTGTCTAGATTCGCGCTCTTTGCTTTTATGATTTTTGCTACTCCCATAGAGATCACTGGGCCTCCATAAGGAGGTGCCCTATGTTTTTGTAGAGGGATCGTATGCGGCACAGATGTCCCTATGTAAATATATGATGGTCCATAACTGCGATCTGCATTCAAATAAGCGTGTCCGTTTGGGCTTGTTACGAGTAGTAACAATTACGGTAGCTCAGCAGCTCCTGTGAACGTGACAAAAACTACCCGGGACACTTCACTGCAGGCGACATGAACCATTGAAACCGAGTAAAAAATCAATTCGCGAAGAACCTTGAGACTGGCAGCGTTACCAAACTACGAAGACCACCAGCTTCGAAAGGCGCTGCAAGAAGATCCAAGCCAAAGCCCCCTGAACCTCTAAACCTTAAACCCATACACCGCGAACACCAGCTAAACCAGAAAAGCCCGAAACTGCCAAAATGCTCCGAGAACCTGAAACCGTAAACAACTAGACCCGAAGAAGAGCGCCAGAGGGTGCTGGGCCTCAGAATGGCCTTCGACACGGCCTGGCTGGAATCATGGATCAAGCTCAGTCTCCCAGTTTCCAAGCGCTCTGGATTTGCGTATCTCCTGCCTTACTTCAAAGGTCATGGCCTCATGGGCTCGAGATCATGTCTTTTGCTTAGAAGGCTTCTCGCAAAGCCTCTCGGGATTTGTGGTGGGCTGGCTTAGAGAGTGAGCTCGGTGCCGCTGCACCAGGCTTCGCTTGTAAGATAAGCCACTACTGCATCGAAGCGGGAAACGGATTGTGGTACCACACAAACCTCGCACAAGTTTCGGTTTTTCCGGCATGCACTGTACAGCACCGGCTTGCATTCCTGGTCTCTGGAGGGAAGCCTTGTAGGCAGTTCAGATAGTGAGGCAGGCTAGCGAGAACGCATTGCGCACGAGCGCCTGCTTTGCACTATGCATGGCCTCAGGCTTAGTCAACCTCCTCAACGGTCGGGCCGCTGGCGCCCCCGGGGGCTCCGCCCATGCCGCCACCAGGCATGCCACCCTCGGGCATGCCGCCACCGCCGGCCGCCTGGTAGACCTTCATCATGATGGGGTTCACGATGCCCTCGAGCTCCTTCTGCTTGGCCTCGAACTCGTCCTTCTCAGCGAGCTGGTTCTTGTCCAGCCAGTCCAGGGTCTCCTGGACTGCGCTCTCGATCTTTTCCTTGTCGCCTCCCTCGAACTTGTCCTTCAGCTTCTCCTCGTTCAAGGTGTTGCGCATGGTGAAGCAATAGTTCTCGAGGCCGTTCTTCGCCTCGATCTTCAGCTTGTTCGCCTCATCTTCGGCGCGGAACTTCTCCTTGCTTGCGTGTCGTGCTCTACCCCTTCTACTCCTTCACAACTTCACAACCTATACCTTTCTCGGAAACAGAAAACGCTCCCAAGGTCACTGCGCCCAAGTTTCTGCTTCCTGCACCATGCGGTCGATCTCGGACTGCGACAGACGGCCCTTCTCCTCGCTTCGGCATGCCACGAGAACTTGCACGTACATGTGTGTGTTGTTCTACTGCATGGCTACACCTGAAACCCTTCTGAACCACTTCTTAAGCTAGATTGAATTCAAGACACGTTCGTGATCGTGATCTGGTTGGACTTGCCAGTGGACTTGTCCGAAGCGCTGACGTTCAGAATGCCGTTGGCATCGATGTCGTAGGTCACCTCGATCTGAGGAACACCACGCGGGGCTGGCGGGATGCCATCCAGGTGGAACTTGCCAAGCAGGTTGTTGTCCTTGGTCATGGCACGCTCGCCCTCGAAGACCTGAATCAACACGCCCGGCTGGTTGTCGGCATAGGTGGTGAAGGTCTGTGCCTGTGCAGATCACTCAACAATACCTTAGGGCAAGTCAGATTTAAGAGGCTATAGTCAATGCAACTCAAAGGAAAACCATAGAAAACTCCTGAGAACAGGCCCTCTTCGAACTTGGATTCTAGAAACCCGGTGCAGGCCTTCTTCGTCGGGATTGTTGTATTTCGCTCAATGAGCTTGGTCATGACTCCGCCGGCGGTCTCTAGACCCATGGACAGAGGCGTCACATCCAAAAGCAGAAGGTCCTGCACCTGGGACGAGCCCTCGCCCGTCAGAATGGCAGCCTGCACTGCGGCACCATAGGCCACGGCCTCATCAGGGTTGATGGACCTGTTTGGCTCCTTGCCGTTGAAGAACTCCTGGATCATGGACTGCACCTTGGGAATGCGCGTGGAGCCACCGACCAGCACCACATCGTGCACGCTCTTCTTGTCGATGCCAGAGTCCTTGAGGCACTTCTCCACCGGACCCATGGAGTTGCGGAAGTAGTCCATGCACAACTCCTCGAAACGGGCACGGGACAAGGAGCAGGAGTAGTCGATACCCTCGAAAAGGGAGTCGATCTCGATGGTGGCTTGCGTGGAGGAAGACAGCGTGCGCTTGGCTCGCTCGCACTGCGTCCGCAGACGTCGGATAGCGCGCTGGTTGCCTGCCATGTCCTTGCCACGGTTCTTGCGCCTTGGATGGAAATACAGTCGGAAGCTTCAACTCTGATACGAAAGCCCTTGCAAGTGCTTAGCCAAGTCACTTGAAGTCCTGGATGCAAAAATCCACCACTCGGTTGTCGAAGTCCTCACCGCCCAGGTGGGTGTCACCGGCAGTAGCCTGCACGAGTCGAGAAATCAACTGCAAAACAGAACCACTGCCGCCGGACATCCAGGCAGCGCAGAACCCTCAGAAGCACCTTCACCTCGAAAATGCCATCCTCGATGGTCAGGAGCGAGACGTCAAAAGTACCGCCACCCATGTCCTGTGCCCATTATATATATATATATATATATATATATATATGTAGATTGCAGGTGCGCCAACCTAGCAAACGGGTTAGACGCAGCATCGGCCAACACCCTTTCAGGGTCTCGGCAGAGAATGAAACGCGTATATTGAAGAGGTGCGTTCGTCGGTGATGACACCTTACACCTACATGAAAAATAACCCAAGGAGGGAACTAAACCCAAAACCTAGGGTAGAGGGGATGAGTCAGAAAAACACTCACAATCGTCGGACAACTGAGCGGCGTGTGTCAACAATTTGTTTTTGTTGACAGAACAAAAATGGTGAAGGTCGATCATCTAGACCTAAGAAAATGGAAATCAAGCGGAATGGTAAAATCAGAAAATGCAAATGTTAAAGCTTCACAGCATTTGTGGGGACCCAGGCGTATCTGGAGCACAGGCCTTGCAAATCTCAATGCCAAGCTTACAAGCCGCGGTTTGCAACCTGACACGCCTGGGGCGCGTGTGAGCTGCAGACATCGTGATCCAGCCTGTCTTAGTCAAGCATCTTGTTTGCTGACTCCACCACTGCGGCGGGATTCCGAACTCGGTCTGCAACTGTTGCTTGGTCCGTTCAAAACGGAGGGCAAACAGTGAAATCATGCTGCGAACTGGCGGCAGGAGCGTCGCACCTATCACACTCAGTGTTGGTTAGGTCGGTAGTTAACCGGGTCTTAGTCCTGACAGCTCCGGCACGCCAGACGGTCACGGAAAAACGCTCATTGGCAAACAACCGTTTTGCCCACTGTTTCCAGATCTGAGCGCTGGAGGCCTCAAGGTCGATGTCAGGAACCCCTTCATAATCGAATCTGGAATGCTGGGCCGTGGCCAAAGCAAGGCGACGAGCACGGATGCGTAAGCAATGCTGTGCGTGCTCATTGCAAACATGAAAAGGTCGAGTCATGGTTTCGGGGTGCTGGCCAACGGAAGGGACCTGCAGCGGCCTGCCCTTGTGTTGGACCCGAACTCTTTGAATGTCTGTTCTAATGAGACGGGGTTGAAGAGCCTCCGCATGTGCTCTGAAAAGAGCAGTCCAATGCGGCTACTGCGACTGGTGCAATTTGCTGGCATTGTAAAGCCCTCTCAGCGCAGGACCGAAACGTGGGTGGTCTTCAATAAAGACCAGCCCACCATGTGCCTAGGCACCACCATGTAGCGCACCAATGTGTCAATGCACGGAGAAGCTCCTTGGCTTGTTTGTTCGTTCCCGGGGGAAGCAACGGGCTGGCCCAAAAACCGCATGCGAATCTGCAACGGATTTCAATGCTGCCAGGGCATCGCCTTAGTTGCTCAGTGAGCTCGGTAACACGTGCGCTTTCATCTCTCACAGCAGTAAGATTTTCAGGTGCAGTGGGATGCCATCGAAGGCCAAGGTGATCAACGCTGCCTCGTGATGGGCATCTGCATCGAAAACTTGTTTTTTCTCACTTTTGTTTTGAAAAACCAATTTGTTCATCAAACTGTTCAGTTTTCTGAATGGCATCACTAAGTGCCTGCTGGGAGTCAGCTTTTATTATACGATCGTCCCTGCACGGCCAAGTCTTGCAAGCCTGCTTTTCAATAAGCCGGGTCCATGGACCGAGTGTGGCGGCTAAAGCAAGGGGACGACAAGGGTCTCCTTGTGGGGCACCGCGTATCGGGTGCAAAAATTTAGCTAATTCACCGCTTACTGTGCAAATGCGGGGTCCCAGCCACGCAGTGCACAGTAGTTTAGCAATGGGCTTGGGAGTCCCCAAGTGCATCATTGAAGTCTCAGCAAGCTGTGGCCAAAGATGGTCGAAAGCCTTCGCCAAGTCAAGCTCAGCGATGTGGCGAGGGCGACTCGCAAGCATGTCGGCAAAAACATGCTGGACACACACGCCCTTCCTTCCACAAAATTGGCCAGGTGGTGGTGCCGGGCACATGGCCAGAAGACACTTGTGAAATGAACGGACTAAAACCGAACCGACTGAAATGGGTCGGGAAATCCACTGGGATTTCTTCAGAATTCCTACCACGTTCCAAGTGTATAGGACAGGGACGACTTCCAAGAGTTCCTGATTCCCTTGATGAGACAATGTAGCCTGCAGCGTATCACATCACAAGTCATAAAGTTCACGTGTCAAAGCAGGAAAAAACTGCCTGACACATTTGACTTCTTTGGCCGTCCAGCCGTCAAAACCTGCCGCACCTTTGCTGGATGCTAACGCGTCCAGAAAAGGCATGTGCTCGGTCGGAGCTGCGGCAGGTGCGTAGCCAACTTCCTTGGCAATGCGCTTCCAAGTTCGGCTAGCTTGGTCACTGGAGTCAACCTCAGGGTTCCAGTGCTCCTGCCAGGCTCGACGCATTTGTGCAGCCGTGAAAATGGGCGGAAGAACATCCGGCTTAAGGGCAACTTTAGCAGCCTTCCACGTTTCTTGAGACAGAGCATGGAATTTGGCCTTCCATCTCTTGCTGGGGGCCCCGGTTCAAGGCATTGATAACTTGCGTGATAGGCCAAACATGCAGGCCCTGGACATCGATTTTTCCAGCAACAAGCACCCCGCAACAACGATCGGCAAGGTGACTGGGCAAACAATCCGAAAGGGTGCAACTTTTATTGCGGAGGCTCTCCGCAACAGCGCGGTGTACCCTCAGCAGCCGCCGATGCAGGATGTTCTGCTGAGCCGGGTCATGCGGCTTAGTGGTCGGTTGAGACCCTTTTGGTCGCTCGACCTGCACAACTTCAT